AAGGAGCACATTAAGAGCAAGAGATTGAGAATTGAGAGCTGATGTTCAATATTATACTTTATCTGTGCGGGATCCAAGACAGAAAAAAACTTTACACTGGACAGCGAATGCTTGATATATTTAAGCCAACTGTTAATCGCTCATACGACCTGTTGCAGTGCATTTAATGTTTTTAACTATTCTCAGCTGAATCTTAACTAAAAACTTACCTGTTTTATAACAAAAGGTAGCTGCTTAACCATAGGACTCTCGACTCTCTGGTCGAGAGTGTCGGAACCCAGAGCCAAGCTGCCCTTACAAACATTCTAGCTACTCTTTAGTTCGGGTCCACCGGTGCACCATTAACTAATTTGCTGCCTCTTTGGGATGAGTTCTGGTCTCAAACCGTGGAAACACCAATTCGATTTAATATGGGGATGTCATTGAAAAAATGTTGACTTTTTCGTTGGTACATTTAAGTTAAGTTATGTTAGAGGAAAGATGTAAAGGATCTGATCTTCTGATCTGAAAATATAACTTCTGATCGGTTATAGCTTGTGATCTGAAGTTACAGCTTCTAAACATACTTAAGCAAAAACAAATACATACATGTATGCAGCGGCTGTGCTTCTTATTACCTTTGCCCAAAAACATTCTGTGTGGTAAATACATTCTTAATAAAAATCGGGATTTGTAATCCGATTTTTATTTAAATTTATTTATTTATTTATTAATATAAATTTTCAACATGAAAAGTTTTCAGTTTCGGTGGAGGTAACCAAAAATTCGAATGTTCCATAGTTGTGTATACTTTACGAGAACCTTTAAGGCTCTACACGAGATTCAAAAGTTCATAGAGGGGGAAAAATGGACAAACTGACATCGGTATGTGGACTCAGCTAGTGGTCCTGATCCACATATACTTTGTCCTTATCGGATCGGAGATGCTTGCTTCTGCCTGTTGTATACATTTGCGTACTCTGTTTACTGTGTAAAAAGAGATAAGTTGAATGTTGTCCTAAATATTCCATCTTAAATCTTTATGGTCGTGGATTTAAAACCTGACTATATTAAATTAGCTATGCTCTGTCCAAACGATCAAGAGTATATGGGTCTATCCACATGTCTGTTCATCCAGTCTGGCTTAATTCATTCGACTCAGATTGCCCCCACAATCACACACATGTTTGTGTCTCTATGGCAGGCGATTAGCTGTTGTGAGGCTCGGTTATGGCACTCACGCCCACAGCTGTCCCAAATGAGTTGTCGGATTGTGGCCGTCAGAATCTTGGCCAGAAAGTGGGTCGTGTTTGGCCGAAATGAAGACTGCCTACGACTAAGCCAAAGAGACTGCGAATGAGAATGAGAATGAGCAGAAAATTACATTTAATTGGCATAAAACTCAATTAAAAATGCCAAAAAGATGAGAGACAAGCTAAAAGGGTGCTCATCCAACTGAATTACGGCAGATCGCATTGTTAATTTGTTGTACGGCCAAAATGTTAGCCAGCTTTTTTTATTATTTTTGTTTGACCCCCGACCTGGGGGAGCAGACAAACACGTAGCACATTTTGATTAGAACAAAACGTGGACACTATAAAAGGGGTTGCGCGTCTCGTGGAGCGCAGTACAGAAGGGGGGGGGGGGGGGGGGAATCGGAGACAGTGCCATGATGTTGCATAAATTTAAGTGCCACAGATACGAGGCGCAAGATACAGAAACGAGTTACAGATACATGCAACAGCAGCTACGTTGAAGAAAACTGAAACGAAGCCAACAAGCTGAGATACAAAAGCAGCATAGAAATGCGGATGCGATGCGAAGCGATGCAAACTACACAACGTACTCCAGACTCGTATTGCTGAAGCTATCTCTGTCTCTCTCTCTCTCTGTCTCTGTGTCTGTCTCTGTGTCTGTGTCTGCGGCTCGAACTCGAGCTTGAGCTGGAGCTGGAGCTGGAGCTGCGGCTTCGACTCGGTCTCCGTTCCTATCTTCGGCTCTGCGGTGAAAGAGCATGCGACCGGGCAAAGTATCTTTGTATCTCATTGCCGCGCGCCTCTGGCTGCCAGGCCGGTTAACATTTCAAATCCGCTGTGGCTGCCACAGTCGCTGCTGCCTCTGCCTCTGCTGTCTCTGTCTCTGCTCCGGCTGCTGCTTCGTGCGGTTCTCCAGCTCGAGCAAGAAGCGATGGAAAAAAACGAGTCTGGAAATTGGGTCAGTGGCACAGTATGCATGGCATTTTGTTACTGTATTCGTGCCGCTCTCTGTCGCTGTCTCTATCTGTATCTGTATTTGTATCTGTGTGAGTGTGTGTGTGTGTGTGTGTCTGTGTGGGCTTTGGGTTTGCCTTTGGCTCTTAGCTCCGCGCATTGCTTTCTTTGCGGCGGCATTTGTGGTCAATATAATGATTCTGACTTGGCGCACAGCTCGGCTGAGCTTGACTTGGTTTGGTTTGGTTTGGTTCGGTTTAGCTTTTGTTGGCATCGTTGTTTTTGTCGCCGTCTTCAACTTGGCGCATATTTTACCATAGCCAGCCGGAGAGCTGGCACTCGCACCTACTCTGTTTTCTGGCTTCTACTAAGTCAGGTTCCACCTAATTGCTGGCGGCACATGTGTGCGGCATTAGCAATGCGGACACCACGCAGTTGCCACCTAATCAACCGAATCAACCGAATCACTCGAATCATCCAATTTAAGTTAATAATTGACTTGCTTTTGGCTTGCCTTGCGTATACTTGATTTGCATCGAACTTGAAGGGAACAAGAGCAGACAACAGGTTTTCTGTTTTTAAATATTATTATTTTTGTACATTTAAAATGACAAAGTTTTGTATTTCTAGAAAGGTAAGCATTAAAATTAGAAAAATAAATATTTACAATCGAATTGTGTAGAAGTACAAAGTGATTTGTTGCTCAACTTGAATAAATAAATTGCACAAAACTAAAATAACATTAAATATTGATTAAGTTATTAAAAGTAATTACTTTATTAAATAATAATATGTTTTGTTTTCTTCTTTCTTTAATTTCCTTTATGCTTAATGAATTTTCGCTTAAATAAATAGCTTCAACAATATTCGTTTGTATTAATATGTACTAAGGATTTGTGGTGATAAATATTTGTTTCCAAGATTTTCACACGAACATAAATATATATTTAAAATATTATTTATTGGACATATGCATGTATGTATGTTGAATTCCCGTTTCGCGTTTAATTTATTGTAAGATTAACATAAACTTTAGCAACAAATTTTTAAAAAACAAATTAACAACTTTTAATGTAAGTGTAATAAGATTTATTACTTGAGTACTTTACTATTTCATAAATATTTGCATTATTATTATTATTATGTATTTAATTTGCTTTGTTTGTGTGTGTTTGTTTGTTTTTTCCGATTTAAGTTCTTAGTTTTAGTTTCTAGTTAAAAAATTTAACACATATTGTTATTTTGCCAAGCCCGCTACAACTTATGCTAAGTTTATATGATATATAAATATATATATATATATATACACAATATATAGTTTTATATATGTGTGTGTGTGTGTTTTGTTGTTTTTATTTGTACATTTACCTAACATTATTATTATTTTAATTTATAATTGTATTGCTTCTATTGTTTAACGCTTTGAGTTTCTTTTCAACACAATGAGGTACATAATTTATACAAATTACAGACATACAAATTTCTTATATGCAATTACTTAACGAACATTCGGCTAGACTTTAGCTAAATTCTAGCTACATTTGCATCGCTATTAAATATATATGTATATATACGTGTTTACCTGTGCCAGGGCCTTAGGTGCACGAAGCGCGCAGGTTTGCATCAAAACAGAACAACAGTTGCAAAAAGACAATTGGACGCTTCGTTGTTCTTACATTGCTTGTGGTCTCTTTGCCATGGGAATCGTATATATATACTATATATAGTATATTATTGTCATCTTAAGTGCACCAGATATGTACCGAGAATTCTGCTAAAGTACTATTTCTTTTCAATTCCCAAAAATAAACGGTGTGTTTTCTAAAACAAAGCAATTGTTGCCTATAAAATACATTTTGATTATTGACTACTAATTTGCAAATACTTCAAATATATGACTGAAAGCCTAGTAAATATTTTTAAACTGTGGCTGCATTCCCAGATTAATTTCGATCTATAATACTTCATTAATAACTTATGTAGGCTGTGCGATAATCAAAACATGAATTGATAATACTTATAGACAATTTACATTCGAATGTTCGCTAAAACATTCTCAATGGAAATCGTTTCTAAGAGTGACCAGCCATTGACAGTAGTTGCGGCGTTGCCAGACATATTTTGTGCCCCACAGTTAAGTTGGCTGCGCCTCAATTGACTTTTGCTTGCGATTGTACTTTATAAGCCAGAGTTTATTACTGCCATTTTTAAGCTAGTTTCTAACTGTTATTAAAATTTCTATTAATTATGCAACAGGTATTACTGATAATCTATCTTCACATTGGGTTAATCTGAAAAAGAGCTGATATCCTTCTAGTTCTAAGAGAATGCTAATGAAATTGTGTGGAGGTAGTAGGTTGATATTAAATACCATCAACAATCCGTATTGAAGAATTTCGATGAAACAACATTTGAATGAATCCATGCCAATTAAACTATTTCGATTTGTCATTTAAGCTACCGATCCTCTGATGCCCGATCCCTAATCGGGCTGCTGACTAACTGCCAAAGGGCGAAGAGATCAAAAGCAACCAACAACAACGAATATCAAGTGCTATGTGTATGGCATTGCTTCACCCTGGTTCTCGGGGGGCCAGCTCCAGGCTGGCTCTGGTCAAGCAATGCAATACACGAGAAGCTGCCGCACCCAAAGACCCGGCCATGCACACACCCAGACGCCGATTGCTCGGATGCGCCGGATTGTGGTGGCCGGGTGGCGTTGGCGGGCACTTTCTCCGGCACAGCACACAGAGGCGCGACAGCAGACGGCGGCTGCACGGCAGTGCAGCGGATCTGGCTGGCGGGCTCTGTGTGCTCTGTACTCTGCGTGGCTGCGTCAGCGGGCAGAAACAGTAGCTGCTTTTGTTTTGCTGTTGCTAGTGGCGAGCGGGTTGTGGATGTGGCCGCGGTCAGTCACGCCCAATTCTCTTATGTATCTGTTGATGTTTGAGCAAGTGCGCCTTCTGGCGAAAGGCCTTGGCGCACACGTCACAGCGGAAGGGCTTCTCGCCGGTGTGCGTACGCAGGTGCACCTTGATGTTTGACTTGTTGAGGAAGCCCCGATTGCATATGCTGCACCGATGGACCGGCTTCTCCTTGCCCAGCAGACCGCTCAGATCGCTGGCACTGAAGCTGGCCACGCCCGTCGGCGACATGCCGCTCAGCTGATTCGCCCCACTCTCCCCCTGCAGCTGCCCCTGGGCGGCCTGTTGCTGCTGCTGCTGCTGCTGGCTAGACTTCTTCTGCGCCCTGGATCGCTTGGCCTTGGGCGTGCCAGAGGGCGCATTCGTGGTGCTTGTCGTATGTGGATAATTGCTCAGCATGTCCGGACTGCACAGTCCGCCGTCCTTCAGTCCGGACCCGGACAGTCCGCCGTTGGGCGTCAGCTGGTACGCTGACTGCTGCTGCTGCTGTTGCTGCTGCTGTTGCTGCTGTTGCTGGCTGGAGTTGGGGTTGTTGGTCAAGTAGCGCGGATTGATCATCAGGTTGTTGTCCGTAGTGCTGACCACAGAGCCCGGCGGACTGCAACTGCTGCTGGCCGCCGACAGCTCGTTGCAGTATGAGGTAGAACTAGGCGTCTCGGTCTTGAGCTGGGTGGCTGTCGCCGCCGTCGAGCCCGCGCCTGGTGGTCCATGCTGCAGGCGATTCTGGAGCAGCGGCATATAGCCATGGCTGAGTAGACTCTGCAGCGTGGAGCTGCTCGCGTGCACCGGCAGCGGTGAGTGGGGCAGCATGAAGTCGCTAAGCGAATCCTGCTGCGAGACGAGCACCTTGCCCTCCTGCTGTATGCAGTTGCCATCGATCCAGGCGTCCAGGTCCATCCAGCTGTCGCGCGTATCGTTGCCCTCCTCCTTGTCCAGCTGATTGGGCACCGTGGTGTCCGCTATCGCGGATCCAATGATCGCCGCAATGTCATCGATGCTGTTCATGTCCACGTACTCGGTCAGATCCTTGTAGATGCGCACTCCGCTGCCGTGCAGAGAGTCGGCCACCTGGTCGATTGGCGTCAGCGTCGATCCGCTGCTGGCCAGAGAGGAGACACCACCACCATTACCTCCACCTCCGCCGCCGCCGCCGCCTCCGCCACCATTGCCGCCTGTGTGGCCAGTGGCGTTCATAACACAGCTGTCCGCTACGGAGTAGAGCTTAGAATCTAACTGACTATCGGCAAAGAGCTTGACATCGTTCAGGCAGGCGTCCGCATCCGCGCTGAGCACGCTCTCGGGCAGGCCTGTGGATGAGGATACGATATTCTGCTCCTGAGAGGAGCCGCCATTGCCGCCACCGCCGCCGCCCGTCCCGCTGCACGTCGTCGCGGCCGTCGTGGACGTGGGATTCGCATTCGGATTGTTGCTGTTGTTCGACTGCTGATGCTGATGCTGGTGCTGGTGCTGGTGCTGCTGGTGGTGTTGCTGGTAGGCGCTCTGTATGTAGTTGTTGTTGCTCTCGTCGGGCAGCCGCTGGGCGATTGCATGGTAGTGGTGCCCGGAGATGCCGTTGATGGACAGGTGGCCGGTGTAGCCGGTGAATGGTGGCAGCGGCTTCAGGTCGGACAGCGCATTCAGCGAGGAGCTGTTCAGCAGCAGATTGTCCAGCACATCCAGCGAGTTCTTCTGGTCCGCATCGCTGGGCAGCGAGTCGAGGTCGTGCTCCAGCAGCAGCTTGTGCCCGTCCAGCAGATACTGGTCCTGGCTGCCGGTCTGCGTTGGTCCCCAGCAGGGGCTCATCAGTAGGCTTTCGACTTCTGATTCACTTGGCCCGTTCATGCTGCACAACTTCATTGTCAGTTGACCCAGCCGATGGATAGAAATTTTTGGTTCTTCTTCTTCTTGCGGAAAATATCTAATGTTCTTGCTGAAATATATAAAAGAAACAGAAAAATATCATCATTAGGCGAGAAAATATATTGACAAAGCACATTTGAGGTCATCTCAGCTAGGACTCAGCCATGCACATAGTTCAGCTACATACTATATATACCCATTAGAGATCAGCAAGGGTAAGTATTATATTAACAACTAGTTAAATATTCTACTACGCTTTATATTCTAAAAGAAGCTGTGGGTTATTCTTACTGTGGTGACTTGGAAATGTTAATACAAATTCGGATATATTTCCAACTATTATTTTACTGTTACAAAAACTTAATTCAATAGCTTTAAAGGTAAATAATATAAGTTGTAATATTTAAAAAAATATAAAAATTGTAATTAGTACGCAATGATATGTACTTTTGGTCCCAAAAAGAGGTGCAAGCAGAAGGAACTGCATAAGCCAAAATAAGGAATTTAAATGGAAATATAATTAATTGAAGTATAAGACATTTTGAAATGTGACTAAAAGATCATTCTTATATAAAATTTATGTTTAGCTGGAATATTTCCCAAAATGATTAATAAGATCAATAGCTGTTTTTCATGTCAAATCTTAGGAATTCATCAATGTCTATGTAAATACACATCGGTTTATACTAAGCGCGGCTTAGACGCCACTTCCGTTAGGTTTATAATCCATCTTTCAGTATCTGGGAGATCTACAGGTGCCCCATCAAGCGGCAGCTGCACTTGCTGACAGCTTGCGGCACTAGGCAAACAAGCTTATGGCCCCTAATCTGAGTTTAATACAAATCCCAATGCGTATTCTCCAAAATACGAATATTAATCGAAGTCCATTTGGGCCGCCTGTGGTCTGTCCGAGCTGCATATCAAAACATTTCCACGGCGATTACTCATGGTGAGACGCTGCCAAGATGGGAGAGGGGGAAATACAAAAAAATAACAACAAATCGATGACCAGAATGGCCAATAATAATTTCCAAACGGTATTTGGGTCACAACATTAATAATCAGTTAAATTAGCATATAAATTGGTAGAAATAAACGCAGCGGCAGAGACGCAGCAGAACTTGAGCCCAGCTACATAGTTGGATTCGGATGGATATATATGGCTAGAGTCTATACCCAGACAAAGATATGAGGGACCGACAATGAAAGTACAACAACAACAACACGTAGTATGCGAGACAGGTGCAGAGTGACCCCCTCCCGCCTTCATATTCAAATAAGAAACTACAAAATATTCAAGACCAATTGAATAAAAAAAAATCCAAAAAAATCGAAGAGACCCCAACAACAACAACAACAACAACAATTGCGAGTGCGAGTGTAGAATTTGAGTTTGGTTAGCTTTTTGGGAGAAGCGAACGGTAAAGCAAATGAGCCAACAAAAATAAAGACTTTTTCTCATTTTGTGCATAAACAGTTAAGTTGAGTTTTTGAGGCTTGGCCACTTTTATGTGTGTGTGTGTGTGTGTAGAAAGAAGAAAGCATACAACACCAAATTGGCCAATATACTTACTCGCTCGCAGCTAGACTCGTTTGGCATTGGTCAGCGTGTGAGAGAGTACAGACAATTTCGCTTTCAACAGGTTGTCGTAGCAACATGTTGCTAGCTCAGAAGCTGAGAAGCGGCGAAAAGAGCAGCAGAAGAAGCCACCGACGGCGACAGCGACAGCGACTGCGACTGCGACTGCGTTAGCGGCAGCGACGTTAGCGTCAGCTAAACATGAGCAGCTAAGCGTGGCAGCGGCAACGGCAGCGGCAGCGGCAGCAGCCAAACTACCGTTACACGAGAGACCTGCTGACATACTTCCGTGTTCGGCAGAGCCGAGACGAAGCTGCCACGAAGCTTCGACCAAAGCTCAAGCGCAGCTTTGCGTGCACTCACATAAAATAAAAAAAAATTAAAAATGGCGGCCAATGCGTCTAGGCTTAATTTGAAATGAGAATAATTCCACCTGACGGTTCAAAAAAGGCGATTTATTAATTATGCGACTAATGAAATTAATAATAATACGTAAATAATGAATGCACAATTATTATTTTCACTATAATAAATAAATAATTGTAGCATTAAGGTGGAATTAGACTAGGGCTAAGGCTTAAAATATTTCAAATTTCAAGCAGTGTTGTAAAATATTGCAAATATGTGCTAATATCAATATTTTAAATCAGTTTGATTTAGATATCAAGTAACTGTTAAACGGATTGATAGAATATTAAATAAATATATGAAAATGTAATATAAAATAAAAACTACTATTTTTTCAGACTTGACCCGTTTTTAGGTGCCATTACTTGCACTATTCCTCTATCTTTGCATGTATGATGTTCTCTTCAGTTTCTACTTATAAAAAATAGTTGGCTATTTATTTATTTATACCCATCCCTTTTTTTGTCTTCTGTCAATTTCGCTGGTTCATGTTCTTGATATTGATTTTATGATATTTTTTTATTATTTGTTTTATTTATTTTTTGTCTCGCCTTTGAGTGACGTTTTGGATGCGCCTACAAGATTGGCGTGAAATATTTTATAGACATTCTGATTCTTTTATTGTTTGACTGAGCGTCACTTTTTACACATTTTTGTTTTGTTTGGTTTTTTATTGTTCAAGTTAAACTTTTATTATTGTTGCTGTGGCTACTCAACATTTTTTTTTTGTTTTGTTTTAATGAGGCACATTGTAACGGTTGTTCGCTGCTCTTTTCGCATTTGAATGGCCCCAACACCTACACACACACACACACACACACACACACACAGACAGAAATTGCGTGGGTGCGCCGCACAACAGCAACAACAACAACAACAAGAAAAACAAACAATGCGCCTCTATTGTAATTTGAGCTTGTAAATGGGATTTTCAGATTATGGTCAGAGAGCTACACATTTGGGCCCCGATTCGGGTCGGGTACGGGCATTGCTGTGGGCATTATAATTACGATTTCTGAGTGCTTGTTGTAACGTATGTGTGTGTGTGTGTGTGTGTGCGTGTGTGTTGGGCGATTTTAACGGTTGTTTTTTGAATGAATTAGTGCAAATTTTTGACAACCGAGTGATTTTATGACCCTGAGCTGAAAGCCTTTTATGAATAACTCGGTCAGTTTGTGGGCGCACTTGAAATGCCGTTAAGTAATTATAAATCAACTGAGATTTAATTGAAATGATATACAAATATATATATATAATAGCATAAATATATGCATACAAATAAATATTGTTCTAGCTAGATAAAAGCTCTTAAATCAGGAGAATTTGTAGCCATATATTAACTGCGAGTTCAACTAACTTTTCCATACCGCAGTCAAATTCTTGTTAACGTAGTGAAATGAACTTTTCGACTTCAACAACTACTTATGGCCAGAACAGCAGAACAGGCCGTCAACAAGAACGCTCCAACAGCTGCTACAAAAGTTAAGAAATTGAGTTCTTAACTCTACAGCAAAAAAAAAAAACAACGAGGTCCAAAGTGAGACTTCGGCTGGGCATCTTAACGGAAATTGAGTTTAACCTTTGGCGGCAATCAACTTCCGTTTAAATGTTCGAACACGAAGCAGCGGCAAAGGTCAAAACGTTTTTCCACAGCCAAACACCAAATGGCCAATACAGAGAGAACTGGCAAACAGTCTGCTTTTCCTGTGGCTACGGCCAAAATGAAAAGAAAAATCAGGTCGCGCGCTGGCGTCGGAAAAAGCGAATGAAAAATTATTTGATTGCAAAATTTACGGCCGCAACGATTTCCACTTGGAAAACCGCACGTACAATGCCAGCAACACCTCGAACACCAGCAACACCAACAGCAACAGCAACAACAACAACAACAACAACAGCAAGGCTACCAAGCGGTTTTCCAAGCAACCAACTTTGACCAAGACCGAGAAGCCGAAAAAAGCAGCCGCAGCCTCACAAAACGTGTGGCTGGCATTGAGGTCGCCATCACTCAATGAAGGTTGCCCCAACGCCGACTCTGCCTCTGCCTCTGTCTCTGCCTCCATCTTCAACTGCATCTGCGACTCTATCTTAAGCTGTAAATGTGGATGCAGCAAATTGCTGCGAGTAAGCAACATCAACAACATCAACAACAAGCAAAGGTGGAAAAAAATACCGAGAACCGCCAACTGGCAACAATGGGAGACGAAGACGTGCTCGGTTCTTCTACTGCTGCGCACTTGACAGCACATGTGGCACGTGTGGTGTCTGTGTTGTTGTTGTTGTTGTTGTTGTTGCTACCAAGCGAGCCCATCCACACAGACACCAACTGGGACTGCGACTGCGACTGGCCAACTAACCGCAACTGCACACAGAACTTCAGCTGATTCCCCAGACTTAGATAGAGGTGTGGGCTCCGACTCAAACTGGACCAGGTCGTCGTTGTCGTCCAAAGGTGGGCGTTACCGATGGAGCTATGCATAAAAGCAAGATACGGGGGAGTTGCATATGAATAATGGCTCAAGGTGTAAATTAAGTTCGTTATTAAATGGATCAGTTGCTGGAAAAGGGGCTTGCACCCGTTACGAAAACAGATTTTTAATCAAGTTTTGGTAAAAAGGAGTTTATCGATCAAAATAAAAAACTTAAGTGCATTTGAAGGGTATATAAAAGAATAAAAATTATGACATTAATAAATGGCAAGCAATGAGAAAAACCCGACGGTAAATTTGTAATTTTTTAATTGTTAGGAACCTGCAGAAATTAAAACTTAAAACAATTTTAATGCATTATAAATGAAAATGTTATATAAATGGAGAGCATTTAAGATAAGAGTATGCTAAATACAAATATAAACCAGTTTATGTAGTTTTAGTAATTTCTAAAGATAGTTTGCAAAGCTGGCAAGTTCCTTTTAATACCCTGTAAAGGGTGAAGTTGACAGCAGAATTATTTGTAGTTACAAATGTGTGCAGCGTATTACTTAGTCTAGCACTCATTATTTCATATAAAC